AAAAAAAATTAATTTGCATCAAGCAGAGACAATTTAGAATATAAATGATAAACTATCCTTGTTCCACTGAGATTTATGTTAATAAGCCTTTAAGGCCTTGGTAATTAAAAGAAAAGACATGGTGAGGGGGGTTATATGGCTATCAACATTTTCAGGATTTGTTTTCACATAGAATCAATTATACATTGAATATAAATAATAGCTATCATTTATTGAGTTTTACATGGTGCCAGGAACTTTAACAATGTATTTAACAAATAAATAGCACTAACCATGTACCAGGCACTGTTCTAAGTACTTTGCAAATATTAACTAATAACCACTACGAGATATGAACTTCTATCATTCCCTCTTTACAGATAAAGAAACTAAGGACAGAGAGGTTAGGTAATGTGTCCAAGGTTACACAGTAAGTGGCAGAGCCGGGATTCAACCCCCGGTAGCCTGGCTCTAGAGCCCAGACTCTTATCTACCACCCTCCTTGTCTCTAACTAACATTGTTGCTAATTTCTACAACGTTCCTGAGAAGCAGATTAATCTCTGTTTAACAGATATGGAAACCTAGGCTCAGCGATGTTAAACAACCAGCCCAAGGTCACACGGCTACTAAGTGGCACAGCCAGAATTTGCACCAGCACTGTCTGATACCACACTCCACATGTGAAGCCTTGTTTGAACTGTGATGTTTTCTGAAAACCTCCTCCAAGTAATTCATACATTTTTATCCTTACCTAAGTATTTATTATAAACATTTCAGATTAGGAAAGCTGAAGAATAAAACTAAATGTCCTTCATCTATTTATTCTCAACTTAACGCCTGACTAGTCATAGTCAAAACAGCTAGGAGGAAATACTACTGCAATTACTAAAACGAATGAAAACCAATATTTCTTTGCATTGCATTCTGCCTCTTACTCTGAATGTCCTAACACTCGTGTTTTGCAAAGGCTGGAGGTCTCATAACTGAGGCAATGAGCACACACAGGTGTGGATGAATCCATGGGCTCATCAGTGTCTAAAGTCTTTACCCACTGGAGAAGCATAAATTAGAAGCTAATTTCAAAGCCATCTTTCTGTATTGATTAAAATGAACTATGTCTGATATTTCTATTCCATTTTCTGTCTTATAAACAGAGACAAATATTTTAATTGAAACCTTGATTTGTGCTTCTCTTCAATTTCAACATACAAGATGGCTAAAACAGTTCATTTATTCAGCTCATTTAGCAATTAAAGAGATCTTCATAAGTAGAATAAACAGAGAAAGTATAATTTGAGGGAATAACTTTGTATTTTATTCTGGATTCTTGCAGTTTTTCCATGGAGCCCCATCTTTCCTACATGTGTTAGATTTCTTTAAAATTCAAGAATTTTCAGAGATCATGGCCATAAAAAAGTTATACAATCTATGGATAAAAATAAATATCCTGGAGAAATTCTTTAACAGCATTGGAACACATCTAAACTTTTGATGGCATGTGGAATCCTTCATGATCTGGCTCTGCCTACCTGGGCAGGCTCTTTTCCTATCGTTCCTCCCCGGCACTTAAGTTCTGGCCTGTAGTTTCCCTACATAATTTGAGTTCTCTGCCTGCCTGCCCTTGCCCATGCTGATCCATCTGCTTGGAGCTGCCATCCCTACCTCACCCTCTCAACACACTTTCTTCCCCTATCCCTTTCTTCTCCTCTCCCCCATCCCACCAAAAATACCTTCTTCTTAATCAAGTCTTAGCTAATAACTTCCCTGATTCTACCAGGCAGAATTAATCTTTCTCCTAGCCTCATGGCCTTTACAGCAATTATCTTTCTGTGTTACATTTACTGAAAGGTCTGATTTTGGATTAACTCCTTGAGGTGAGAGCAGAGTTGAGCTTTTTTGCATTGCTGTTGTTTTTGTCTTGAAATATTTGCATTTCCAGGACTTACCCCAGGAGCACAGTAGATGCTTAATAAACGTTTACTAAAATTTGGGGTAAGTAGTAGTGAGGATGACAGAGAAAAAAAATGTGGGCAAAAAGATATCCGAGTGCTTAGATATACTGTGTGTGTGTGTGTGTGTGTGTGTGTGTGTGTGTCTCCACTTGTGAGGTATGGAGTCAAGGACACTAAATGTATAAATACAGAATGATGGATCTCAAAATTCAGGTAGTGAGTACCCCTTGAGGAATAACTGACAAATAAAGCTAGGAAACTACAACATGGTGTAGTGGAAGAAGTATGATATCGTGGTCCAACAGACCTAGGTTTGGATTCCAGGTGCTACTTATTATCAGAGTCACCTTAGCAAGTTACTCTCTTTGTGTCTCATCTCTTTCATCTAAAAACTGGCAAGAGCTCTGCAGCCCCTAGGGTTGCTGTGAAGATTAAAAGACACAAGTACGTAGCAGAGTACCTGAAAATAGTGAAGGCTCAATAAATGTTAGCCGTTATACCAGCCTGACCAGAGAGAACAACTTTAGGTCTCTGACATTTTACCTGTCTTCTAGATAAAAATTAGAAAGCCTACACGTTTAGATATTCAAAAAAAATAAAATAAAAACAACAGAAACAAACAAAAAAACTAGATATCACATAATGACATTAGAAATACTGAGTTTACCTATCTATATTATAGGCCAGAATTATAGTAGACATACTATAGCCAGGCAAAACTTGATTATAACCTTAAATGAATATTCTGTACATTTTGTTTGCAAGTTTCTTGGTGTTCTACTCTGACATTTTCTTTTGAGATGTTAGTGACAGAGCACTTCGTAATTCCTATAGCATATGACTCACACCTCTAACCTTTCTCCTTCCAGAACTCCTTAAGGTATTGTTTCTGCGAATTTTTTGTTTCTGTGATAAAGGAATGTAAAGGTGAAACAGGGGTTTCCCCATTCTTAACTCTTACAGAGTTAAGGACTTCAAAAAACAAGAGCCTTCTCTGAAGAGGACAATTTTAGGGCAGCTGATGTTTTCAAGGAGAAGTAAACAAAAAATTCCAATGAAGTGCCCTACAGAAGGCTGGCAGAAAGGAGTGAAATGAATGAGACCAAATGGAAGGGCCGAACGAAGGAAAAAAACCACAAAGCAAACACTCATAAGAAACTATGGAAACACTAAGACTGTGGATTGCATTTTCAAAACAAAAATGACAAATCAATACAAATCTTTATATATATAATGGGAATGTAACAAATTAACTTAAAAAACACTGTCTTATTCAGGCAATCCCTTTAGAAAATAAAAAGAGACTACAGAATGGAAAATCCATTACCTCCCTGACATATATATAACATTGGAATTTAAAATTAATTATTCAAATTAAAGTAAATGTTAAAGTAAAGTAAGTAAAAATTAATTTGCCTTTCCCAAAATGCCCAAGGCAAAAACTAATGGGAAATGGCGCAGAAATAAACCAGTTAAATCCACAATCAGAGACTTTAACTTAGGTTTTACACCACAATGCAGCAAACCAAGGCAGTTGCTTTCTCTCCAAACTTAGTGAGTCCAGTGAGTATCCAACCTAGCTAGTCAACCAATAATTTCTTGGTCAGCTGCCCCTCATCTGGATGTCTCTGTTCCTCTTTAACAATGCTAGAACAAAACACCTCCACCTGTAACTTCGCTAAGCTTTTGCTTCATGCCCCTTATCTTCTTCAACACTCTAACTGAAATAAATCTCCCTCCCTCCTTTCCACTCCTACAACCTCTACTGCTGCTACTCCAGTTCAGACCCATATTTTCTTAATTGGACTATTACATTAGATTCCGTAGTAATCTTCCTGTCTCCAGTCTTACCCACATCTCCCATCTCTGTTCACTCTGCTGCCAGAGATAGACATCTTTCTAACATGCAAATCTCATCAGGATATTCCAGTCCCATTTTAAAATTTTCAGTAGTTTACACTCCCTATTGCCTAGAGAATAAACTTTAAAATCTTTTTCATGGCATTCAAAACTTTTCATATTCTGGTCTTAGCCTACCTGTGAGGTCCTCCTATGTCAATCCCCCATGCGGGGGATTTTACATTTAACCAATATTGAGCTATAGTTCCCCACCATTCCAATCTTAGTCTCTTCCTCTCTCTTATACCTGTGGTAGTTACACAGTCTGCCCACCTGTCTGCAATATCCTACTTCAGTTTATCTTCCTGGCAAGCTTCTAACCCATCTCTCAAGCCTGAGTTCAAATAGTTACTTCTCCATAAGCTGCCCTGACTCCTCAGGTAGACTGACGTTCCTCACCTATCTTCCTATTGCAGTTTGTACAAATATTTGTGCACAACTATCATATTTTATTTTAATTATTCTTATCTCTCCACTAGACTTTTAAGATCAGAGGAAATGACTTCTTGATTGGTATCCTCAGTATCTAGTGTAGCACAGTACCTGGCACATAAATATTTGTTGACCGAATGAGAGTTTTGACCAGGTGGATAAAGAAACTTGGAATATAAAATAGAAAGGTTTTTACAATTGTGAAAAGGGTAGGAGGAAAACTAGCAAAGTAATCTCTACTCTTAATCTCCATGTCATAAATCCAAGCCCTTCAGTATCAGAGCAAGGCAAGGTGCTTTTGTGTCTTAAATATTTCTCATTCTACTTCCATCACCTCCTTGGTCTTTTTCCTGTCTGTAACCTCTCTGCAGCCACCAGCCATAATTAGGCAAGCAGGGTACAGCACCAGCAACCTCCACTGCTCCTCTAGCCCTGTCAGTACCTCCAATCACTCACACACACAGACAAATGTACCTCCTCCTGCAGAGCGCCACAAAGAGACCTGGACACAAATCAGACCCCAGTTACAGTCCTGCTGCTGTGTATATTAATAATGAACTTATTTCCCTTACTTTTCATTACACATAGAACTAAGGAAATGAATAAAATACACTTTGAGAAAGCTTAATGTCATCGGTAGAAATGCTCCTGAACCTCTGCCTGCAGCTCTGTCTCCGCTCACACCAAGCACAATGGCTCACATCCAATCAAGTTAGGGCCAGCTGCGTCCCAGTTACCTGCTATTTTGATATTCATGTTGTTATCCAGCAGGAGATTTTCAGCCTTGAGATCACGGTGCACAATCTTCCGACCGTGACAGTAATCAACAGCAGACAGGATTTGCCAGAATTTGCGCCTGGCCTCAGACTCATTTAACCGGCCATGATTAGCAAGGTAGTCTGTAAAAGAAGAGAGAATTTAGAATTATTCACCAAAAAACCCCCGACTATTAGTATTCATGATTTTTTCCTCAAAAAGCTTTTATAATAAATAAGAGTTAGTGTTCAAGTAACATGCTGTTTTCCAAGTTCCTTGCCTTGAGAAAAGTAATTTCAATGATATTTCACTGGAATCCAGATAACTGGAGAGAACCCAAGACCAGACAATAGCCACTGGCATAATATTTACAATACAAGATGCTTTTTTTTTGTTTGTTTTTTTGTGAGGAGGACCAGCCCTGAGCTAACATCCAATGCCAATCCTCCTCCTTTTTTTTTTTTTTGCTGAGGAAGACTGGCTCTGGGCTAACATCTGTGCCCATCTTCCTCTACTTTATATGGGACGCTGCCACAGCATGGCTTAACAAGCGGTGCGTCAGTGCGCGCCTGGGATCCGAACTGGCGAACCCCGGGCCGCTGCAGCGGAGTGCACGCACTTAACAGCTTGCGCCACCGGGCCGGCCCCCAGGATGCTTTTTTATGCCTAAGCACTCCCTCTGTTCTTTGGTTGAAAAATTTATTAAATATTTTTCCTAACGACATTTTAAAAATAAAATTTATGTAAAACAAAGAACATGAATCAATTCTCTGACACTCCATTAGACAAGAGATGTCTTTCTTTTAAACAATCATTTTATGCAATTATATAAATCACCTGTAATGTGAGATACAGGGGTCCCTGGCAGTAGCTTAAATAATTCACACTCTGTTCTCCTGTTCAATGGAGCAATTCTGATCTACCCAAGAATACGCAGACTTGTTCTCTAAACCAAACACTGTCATGAGAAGCACATTTCTCTAAACAAATATACTTTGCAAGATAGGTTAGCTTTCTTTGTGCAATTTATAATCTATTAAAACAGCTTACCTGAAAATTAATTCTGCATATGTTTACATGAATTTGATTCATGTAAAACTAAACATTACAACTCATTCAAGTTTCACTTAAAGATCTAAAAGGCCTCTGAAACGATCTTTTGAGGGAGAGGGAGTCAATACAAACCTTGAAAGCCTTTTCGATTTAAGATTATTTTCTCAAGTAAGGAACTGCATGAGTGAATCATTATTCAGTCACCTTCACACATTTTCTGCTCTAGGCTATGTGGTTTACTGGTTTTTAAATCCCATGCCATTGGCTCATGCCATCTTCAATATTTGTTATAAAATTTGCCAGCATTTGTACAGCACTTTACAGTTTATAAAGCATGTTCATATCATAGTATCTCACTTAATCTTCCTAAAAATTCTCTATGATAACTATTACTCTAATTCCCATTTTATAGATGAGGAAGCTGAAGATCAGAGGGATTAAGTATCCGGTTGAATTCACACAATTGGTAAGTGAATGGCTGATCTGGAAATAGAGCCTTTGACTGATTTTTTTTTTTTTTACTGTATCAAGTTTCTTTACTAGATTCTTGCTGAAATTCTAACTATCCTTTCAAAACCCTGTTCAAATGCCACCTTACATTTGTCCCTTAAACAGACTCTTATCACATCCAGTAGAAATAATCTCTCTTCTCTGAACTCCTCATCACTTACAACACACTGTCTCACACTTTAACTATCTGCATGTATATCATAAACATCCCAACATGCGCGCACATTTGGGTGTGCACACACACACACAGCCCTTACTCTAACACACTGTATTTTAGAAAATAAAAGATACCTTCATTTAAGATTCCTGAGGATAGGGGCCATATCGTTCTCTTTTGTACTGCCCACATTGCTTAGCACTATGCACAAAACATCACAGGTACAGTACTTATTAAATACCTAGCTGATTAAAGTCTTATCATGGATGGTACCATGAACCTTTCCATCAACAGTATTATAAAAATGTGGAGTGGCGCTATACTCTACACTTTATAGGCTTTAAATGTAAGCAGACATTTTGTATATTCTTCTATATCTGCTATTATCACAAACTGAGATGATCAGCTTGTCACAGCTTCCCTTTGCCTTTACAGAGCCCACACAGTTGCCATTCATAATTCTGAAGGAGAAAAAAGGATCCCTTAAGAAAAAATAGGTAGAATTTTCGGTCATCAGAGTGACTATGTCTAAGTAAAAGGGCAAGTAGATAATGTGCTTTCTATTCCAAGAGTAAACCAGAGACCAATTTCTATAGTAGATGAGCTGGGAAATCCATAAGAGTTGGACCCTCGGGCAAACTCTTCCTCGGGGAATACCACATGTTTTCTGTAAGGGATTATCTTTTGGCTAGTTAGTAATATCTTTCTTAAGATTCCACACCAAATGCTAGTTATACTGTATCACTAAATGAGAGAATTTTTTCATAGACAAATGATTGACTTCTCCAGATAGACAAAATTTCTTTCTGTTGAAAATACTGAGTTAATGTGGGCCAATGGAAAAGATTTCTGAGATTTGGCAACACAGAGAAACCTAACGATCCAATGTGAATAAGTACAAGTTAATATATATGGAAAAAGAACTCAAACTACTGCTTATAAAATGAATCCTGGAAAGCACAATAGAATCTACAGTAGTTGGTTGTTTTCCGAAGCAATCAGTCCAAACTGGCACTACCACAACCAAGGGGGAAGAAAAGCCTTGAAGCTTGGCAGGAAGGGTATTGTATGAAAAACAAAGGTATGGTATATCGGAACCTAAAATTACCAGGTAAAGCCACAGTCATCACATGTGAATAATTATACAACACACTGTGAGAAAAATGACAACGTCCACGTTCCAGAGACTGTGAGAGTCTTTAAAGAGGTGGTTTTTTCACTCATTAAGCAAAAATCTCAGCAAGTATTTCAGCATATCTGTGATCTTCCCCATTCTTTATGATTTCTGCAGGGTAGGCATCCCCGAAAACTATACCATTTGCTGAGAAATCAGTAACAGAACTTACTGAGGTAAAAACCCGTGGCTGCAAATAACATCAGTTTAGGTATACATCATCCCCCGTGAGGGGCGCTGCTATCACTCCAAGCTCAGATTAACGCACATGGTCCTCAAGACAACATGTAAAAAGCACACTCATGTTTCACATTAACAACTTTACTTAATTATGGTTACAGAACAAACTTACAAGTGTAATAGCAATTCTCTATACTAATTGTCTATGTGGGTATTTTTAATGAATGGATCCAGTTAAAAAAAAAAATTCTTTTTTCCCATGTTTACATTTGTTCTGATTGTTAAGTGAAATGTAATTTTATGTTTGTTGACTTTAACAAAAAAACTTTTAAGGTTATATTTTGTATGTCCTTCCCCCCATTTTGCTTTTTATGTTAATTGATTTTTATTGTATTTTACAAAAATCATGGTCTGTGACAGACTGGACAATTTAAAAAATAGGTCTTTCAATATTGATAATTTGAGAAATACTGGTATAGACAAGTAAACAGGCAATTCAATACACTGTGACAAAGGGTAGCACAGAAATAAATATATCCTAAGACGGGGCCGGCCCCTGGCTTAGCGGTTAGGTGCGCGCGCTCCGCTGCTGGCGGCCGGGGGTTCGGATCCCGGGCACGCACCGACACGCCGCTTGTCCGGCCATGCTGAGGCCACATCCCACGTACAGCAACTGGAAGGATGTGCAGCTATGACATACAACCATCTACTGGGGCTTTGGTGGGGGGAAAAAAAAATATCCTAAGAAATATTGTTGCAGAAGTCTTTTAAAATTTTCTCTCTCTTTACTATGAAAGTTTCAAATATACATGAAATGTAGAGAAAATAGTATAATGAATCTCCCAGATTTAAGTTATCAATATTTTGCCATACTTGCTTCATTTATCCTTTTTTTCTTTCATTCCTTATTTTTTTCTTTTTTTGCTGTAGTAACCCTAAAGCAAATCTTGGCATCATTTTGTTTCACCCTAAATACTTTTGTATCTAGCTCTAAAAAAATGACATGTTATTACATACCTACAATACCATTATCACACCTAACAAAATTAACAATTCCTTGATATAATCTAATACTCGGTCTGAATCCAAATCTCCCCAGTTGGCTTATTTGAATCAGGATTCAAACAAGATGTACATTTTGTATTTGCTTATTTTGTATTTGCAGCCTTTTTACCCTGGAACAGTCCCGTTTTCCTCCCCCCCTTTTCTCATGCCACTGACTTGAAGAAACCGGGTTGGTCATCCTACATTCTGGTATTTTCCTTTGCTTCCTCATGAGATTGTTTAACTTATTCTTCTCTCTCTCGTATTTCCTATAATTTGAAATTCAAGTATAAAGAACAGAATAGATTCGGGTTTAATTTTTTTGGAGCGTGACAAGAATATATTATAGGTACATCTACTTAGAGGAATAAAACATCTGGTTCTCTCGCTTTTAGGAGTGCTAAGATTGATCAATGAGTTCCAGGGGTGATAGCTTGATCCTTCAATTAAATCACTCTTTCTCCTAATATCATGGTTCTCAAATTCCAGTGTACATCTTAGAGGACTTGTTACAACAGATTACTGGGACCTACCTCGAGTTTCTGATGTAGTACGTGTTGGAAAGGCCCAAGAATTTATATACTTTTTAGACGTATCCAGGTGATGCATAAGATACGAGACAAGGGGCCACACTGAGAACCACAGCACTAATTTTAGCATTCACTGGTGGCTGTACCTTAATCACTTCATTAGGGGTTGCAAAATGGTGATTTTCTAATTTTTTTATTCCTGCCACATTTATTAGCTGAAATTATTCTGTTGTCAATTAGGGCTATTTAGTTATCCTGAAATACAACTAAAAGAGGTCAGGAAGGCTGAATGTTTAACTCTTCCTCCTTAAGTACCAATTTGCAGAGTAAGGAGTTGGGGCACACTAACTACCTCCAATGATAACTATTAAGATTTGTATGTTTGCTTATTTTTTTAAAACTTTAAATAAGCTTTCTTTTTCTCCTATTTTTTAGATTTTTTCTTTCTTTTATGATTCTCTTAAGTATCATAATGAATGCATGAATTTATAGATA